AAGAGACCCAGAGATGAACATACTCTTGGTTGACCTTTGTAAAAACCATTACTTTATAGTGCTTCTTCGACTAACTCCAGCAAATTTCCATTTTTCGTTTGTAAGAAAATTGGGTACAAGTGATCTATAATACATTATATAAACAACAATAACATTATTTTAAAACAATAATAAATATAATTATAAAAAAATAGTAAAAAGATAACAAAAGCACTAACAAAAATACAAATAAAGATACTATCAAGAATGTCTTCACAGGTAAAGTTGTATAAATGTTAGTTAAACCCCTAAAATTACAAACCGTATAATCATACACAATATAAAAAGGTAAACCATAAATTGGGATAAATTTTTCTATACATACATGATATACTGAAAGTATATTAGTCTTAGTAAATCTATAAGTAGTTAAAGCCTTGTGATGTATCTTGAGGCATATTGACTCTACCAAGTCTTCCACACCTCTTTCGTAGTCTGTTATTACTAGGGTCCAGTGTAGTAATTGTAGTATTTGTTGATATTTGTGAGACCCATATTTTGCGATTCCAGAGCAGTTCCAACTTCCACAACAGGCAAAAATAAATCATGGCTGACAATAACGCAATAATGATAATTAAAGCGCGAAAATTGCATATTCATGATTATGAATTGTGCCTCTAAAGCCTGGTTTATTAAAATGCAGTTCTCATACGAATTGGAGCAAATTATGACTATAGTGCAGAGTGACGTGATCAAAATGAGTGGATTAGAAGTAAAACAAAAAAGAAAAATAGATTGGCATTATATAAATGCCAAAATTTGAAGCACATTGGTGAAATGAATAAAATGAAAGTGAAACTTAATATATTAAGCCTCAAAATCCAAAGAAAAATATAATTGGGTGAGAGGATGAGAGGACTTTGAGTAAGAGCAAAGGTGGAAAATAGTTAATTAAGTTCACATATAAAGCATAAAAAATTTATAATAAAAAACAACTTATCTTTCGCTCTCAAACAACATAGGATCGAATGTTCACTATAAATAATAATAATAATAATAATAGTTATAAGAATAAAACAAAAAAAAAGAGCAAAAAAAAAATAAAAAAAGTAAAAAGATATTTGTTCAGATTCTTCACCATGCATTTGAAGAATATATAATAGCTTGACCTGTATTAGCATCAAACAAAAGTATCAATGAAGAAATCAACAAAAGCGCAAAAAAAGATCCACGGTAATGCTAATAACGATCACAATGAAGACAAACAGAGACGCTGCTAAAGACGATAACAATGACTACTTGATATATTCCGTTGAAATTATTCACATCATTGAACGTTTTATAATAAACATGTGCTATTCTGTCTTTTAAATCCTCAATCCTTAATAATAACAATAACCAACTTAATACATTATTCAAATCAGCAGATGTTTGATAAAGAACGAGTACTTACTTTCGTTACTTCCATCTTTTAACCTCTCAGATATCTAAATAATAACAATGGTCAGCTTAATATATTCCATTAAAATTATTCATAATAGCAAACATTTATAATAAACGAAATACCTTACTTTCGTTGCTTCTGTCTTTTTTAACTCCTTAAATCTTAAATAATAACAATATCAAACTTGTTATGTTCTATTGTAATTATTCAAATCAGCAAGCATTTGATTTTTTTAACTTCTCAAGTCTCTAAATAATAACAATGACCAACTTGATACATTCCATTAAAATTAGCAAACATTAGATAAAGAACAAAATATCTTAGTTACTTTCATCTCTTAAACTCCCTAATAACGATAGAATCTTGATACGTTCCATTAGAATTATTCACATCAAAAACGGTTGATCTTATAACTTCTTAAGTCTCTAAATAATAACAGTGACCAACTTGATACATTCTATTAAAATTAACAGCAAATACTAGATAAAGAAAAAATACCTTACTTTAATTACTTCCATCTCTTAAACTCCCTAAATCTTAAATAATAATGATAAAATCTTGATACGTTCCGTTGGAATTATTTACATTAGTAAACGTTTGATCTTTTAACTCCTCAAGTCTCAAAATAATAACAATGACCAATTTGATATGCTTCATTAGAATTATTACATTAGCAAACATTTGATCCTTTAACTCCTCAATTCTTAAATAATAATGATAGCCAACTAGATATATTGCATTACATCAGAAACACTTGATCTTAAAGTCTCTAAATATAACAATATCAGCTTACACATTACATTAAAAATTATTCACATTAGCAAACATTTGATAATGAACAAAAAAATACTCTACATTCCTCAATTCTTAAATAATAATGATGACCAACTTGATACATTGCATTAAAATTATTCACATCAGAACTTTTGATCTTCAAGTCTCTAAATAATAACAATGGTCAGCTTACACATTCATTAAATTATTCATAACAATGAACAAAGTGTGTTACTTTCGTTACCTCCATCTTTTTAGCTCCTCAATTCTTAAATAATAACAATGGCCAACTTAATTTAGATATTAATAAAAAATTTATATTCTGAACATATATAAATATATAAAATTCTATACATACATACTTACAGAGAGAAATAATAAGAGAGAAATAATAATGGTCCAACTTTATCATTATCAGGTAAAGTTACGCATCTATTTATAAGTGGAAAGTGCCACAGGATCGTCACGATGATGTAACTATTTTTAATTTCGAAATTTCAAAGCAATATATTCAATTACCTATTACGCCAAACTCTATAATAATAAATTATATAGGTAAATTAATTTCAATCAATGATACACAATAAATAGTGATTTACTTACTTTCAAAATTACAAGGTCTTCATATCATCTGCTGATCTGTACAAGATGAAGTCGCTTTTATTTTTTATTTATCTCTTATTTTTTTTTTTATTTTTTTATTTTATTTTTTATTTTTTTTCCGTTCATTACAAAATCCTTATCACCGGAATTATATAGATCGAATAACTAATAAATGTTCTTTCTAAATTAATGCGAATAGAATAAGTAAATCATGTATAATGAACCTGAATAGCTTATTGTAAATACCTAAATTAATAAGTGCCTTTATACTCACGTATTAAATTAAAGCAGATAATTAAAAATCATGATATCATGAGCCAGAACCTATTTTAAATATTTAATTAGTCAATGTTAATGCTCTAAATGATATTAAATAATAAATGTGAAATGAAATTAAATATTAATATTCATGAACTTGAATAGCAAATTTAAATATTTAAATTAATCAGTGCTCCTTATACCTCAGTAAGAGCCGCTTATTTTAAATACAACTGATGTTCTTATACTTAAATTGAAATTAAATAATAAATATTCATGAACTTGGGCAACTTATTTGGGTCTTTTGTTAATTATTTTTAAATATTTCTTGTGCTTACAACTAATTAACGCGAATAAAATTAATAGTAAATATTAATTATTTTAAATACTTAATAAAAGTTATTTATACTCACGTATTAAATTAATGTAAACAAATTAAATGGTAAATATTCATGGAAAAAACTGAGCGATCGATATTATTACCGGTGAATACATGGAACTGATGAAGAAATTATTATAAAAAAAGTGATAACAAATTAATGGATTAAGTAGGATGGAACTAAACACATGGAATTATTCAAAGATTGAATATGAGTCTGATCTGGATTTTAATAATAATTCTGTAATTGCGAAACACACAAAGATGATAAAATCCTATTGTAAGATAAGGAATAATAAAATAATGATACAGATATTGGGATCTATTTATCTACATATAGTGAAGTATAGTGAACCTCGATGAAATTGAACAAGATCAGATAGTGAAATAGAAGATATCGACCAAAAAGTAATGTAGATATATAAAATGTATTGTTCTAAATGTTAGAATCGTTGGAGGTTACAATTATTAATTGTTATGCTTTACAAAATCGAGTTTGAAAATTTTACTCACCAATTAGTTTGTAATACAATATAAAAATATATCACTTAATTAGCGTAGTGGCATATTTGACTAAGAATTAAATTGTACAAGAACAATGAATGAAATTAATAAATAAAATCTTCAAATAAAAAAAAAAAAAAACAATATTAAAACTTAAATTTTTTTAAATTGCTTCATAATAAAATTCATTTCTAACGTATTGATTATTTGAAGAATTATGTGAAATTGAAGTACATGTAGAATGATAATGGTGTACAAAATGAACCTTCGATAAATTGTCTATAAGGCTTATTGGGTAAACTCAGTGCCACCTTGTATTTTTAGCTGTTTGTTTTTCATAAACTGGACATTGAAGAATTGGATCAAGTATAGAGCATTCCCGCAACCAGTCAACCCAAATAAATGAATATACTAAACCATCATTATATCTATGCGTAAATATCCCCTTTAGTATAGCGTAAGACAACCTGGTTTCTTCCTGAATTTGTACAATATCACCAGAATGCAAATTCATATACGTATCAAATGTGCCATCATCGTTTAATAAAGTGTAACTTATTTGCTTGTAAAATTCTACATGCCTATGTATTAAAGCTGCTTTTTTTTCATGTAATTATCATATGCGCTTATGATGTTATAAGTAAACTAAAGATTGTCATCGAATTTTACAGGTAGCGAAAGTTGATGAATTTCGCTTTTTGATAGACGTTTCCGTGTTTTGATGTTTTTACTTTATCATTATGCAATGTGATATTTGTACCTATTGCAATAAGGAATTAAAATTTTGGTTACTGAAATTCCAAGGCCGTAGTTCAAAATCGAAGAACCATATTAAGAGCATAAAAAGTTAATCCTTATATAAATATATGAAGGTTAAAAAAAAGATTGTTATTAAATAGAGATGTGTGAAGAAACTTCACCTATTATAAGTAAAACATTAGTCTCATGCTGATACGTATAAATATTAATTTTAACAAGTTATTTCCTTTTTAAGAAATTATCTATTGTTAGTGTTAGATAATTACTAATTATATACATTAATGAAATACAATGTTACCTTAGAGTTTATACTTTTTAATTTTTTTTTTTTTTTTTTTAATTCTTTGACAGTCTTGTCAGTGCTCAAATACAAATTATATTACTATTAGACTAAAAACAAAGTTTCGATCTCTAATAATATCTAATTAAAAATTGCAAGCCCGGCATCACCCGGCTACATCACGTGCGCCCAGATGCGACTTGTCGCACCAACCCACATGTGGGTTGGAAGACCTTGTCAGCTCTATCAAGAACTAAAATACTTTTTAATTTTGGAATCCTGGATAATCGAAAATTTATATACTTACTTATATCAGCAGTATCTTCTTGAGTATCTTGAATATTCTGTGTCATATACCAATCTGATAATATTGGTTGAAGCAATGGGTCCGTTGTAAAATTTCGAAACCCTGTCCAATATGTTGAAAGTGGCTATCTTTGCCTCTATCGATCAGATAACGAATCGTTTGGAGTGTATTGTGCTGTCGAATGAGATCAAATTCTATATTCTTGCAATTCATTTTCGAAACAAAGCTTTTGAATGTTTTATGTACCGCTTTCTTTACTCCCACAGAGATATTTACAAGCGTTCCAAAGTTGCGAGCATTCTGAACATGATGCCGGTTTATATGTAAATTTGGCAAATTATTAAAATTGTCTGGAAAAAGCTAAAGTACAATGATATAAATAATGTTAGTTATGTTTTATATTGCATCAATAAAATTGGATTGAATTGAATTATCTATCTTAAAATAAATGCCCTCTTATTATTGTTAAAAGTCTCTTGATTTTTTAAGGATTTGTATAAGTAAATCCTAATTTAGGTTAGCTAAATATCATCGACAGTCTCCTATACTAATATATAAAAAAATTAAAACCCACATACATATATACATACATATGTACATACATAAAGTACGTATTACAAGAAACAGTACTCACATTCAGTAAGAAAATATGCTCAATTTTTAGAGCTTCATCTAGTTCTATATATGTT